GCGATCTCTTCTCCACCTCGAGTTGTTGCTTGAAGAAGATCTTGGTGCTCTCCAGGACGCGATCGATGCCCTCCAAAGTGGTGATTTGTCGGAGAAGAACACCCATGTCCTTCCCGAAGTTCGTGCCGTTCGCGTACGCGGCTGCTTTCACGTTCGTGCCAGAGTGGGAGATGTCGTCCGTGGTGACGTTGAAGGGTGGCAGCTCCACAGGACACTCCGCCGCGCCGGGGTCCAGCATGGCAGGTTTCGCGGCCAGTGGCTCCAATGTCCATGGCGTCGAGCTCTCACGCCACCTGGGCGCAATGGACGCTCCGTTGAACTTGTTGGCGCCGGTGTCGAACATGGCCTTCAAGCCATGCGGGCAGAGCAGGCCGTAGACAAGCGGCCTCAGACACGTGCAGAGGAAGAAGCCATCCGGCCCAAGAGCGACAAGGTGACAGAACTCCTCTCGCTGCAACAGGGCGACGCGAACCAGTTTGTCGACGGCCTGGTCACGAAGTAAACCCGCAAAGTGAGAAACTGGCGCACGGCTCGCCAAGTGCACACCAGCGGGGGCGACCGCCGTCGGTTCTGCCGGGTCGATGAACTCTCCGCTGTTGGTGTCGAGCATGAGGTTCACCTTCGTCGGATCATCAACGAACATTTGGAGGATGCGTCGTACGTCCGTCTCGCCACTCGCGACGATCTTGGTGCTGTACCCCAGACATGCGTCTATCATCACCCCGGTATCCTGCAATTTAGAGGGAAACCATGGGTACGGGCGGTAGGCAAGAGGGGGGCGGGGAGGAAATCAATCTCTGGCAATTCAAAGGGCTACGCCTGATCATCGTCATCACTCGACAAGGTACGCTTGACATGTTGCTGTAGGTTGGGGCTGCGGGCACATAAAAGTTGGGTTTGAAGCGTGAGGAGGAAGGGTTCAATGAAAAACACATTGGCCAGATACGGACAGCATATACTGCCTCGGGTAGAAGCGACAACGGTTCATCCACTCATACAACTCACACCACCACAACTAACCTCCTTCGCGTGAGTGCTGCATCGCTCGTGGGTCAGTGCCGCCGTTATGAAGGCGAAATACCCACGGAGGTTCTGCTTCACGTTCTCAGCCGGCGACATGTTCCTCGATAGCGACACGCGTTTTGTGTTCCCCACCTCACTTCGCCTGGAACGCGCGCGGAGTACCGAGCCATGGACAACAACAGCGGTGGCACGCAACACGTCAAGCAAACACGTTAAAAGTGAGCCATGACGCCACAGTCCTTTCGTGCCTATTCCTGTGGTTCTCGATGTTCTGTCAACCGTTGCAAGAGAGCTGAGGTATTCGTCTGGGCAATGTGAGGCCAGTGGTGGCAACTCAGTGAGCACGTCGTCCGGCGACGTCATCAGCCCGGCCAAGATCTCTTCATATGCACAGAAATACTCCGGGACAAGCACTTCAACTCAAACGCTACAAAAGTTCGTTTCGACCGGGTGCGACGTCCTCGTTGCCGCACATGCCCTCTCAAGACAAAGGTGCAGCACCGTCACTTGCCATGGGCTGTGACCGACACAAAGGGGCGGCCAGGACACACACATGAGACGGCATGCCTACCTTTGAGTCCTGATGGCGTCATCCTGAACCTTGCCTAAAAGCGCGCGCTCGAGGTCGGCCAAGTCTCCCGTCCTGGTCACCAGCTTCTTGACGGCGCAGTTCGTCCCTTCCACTCGCTGCGTCGAGGCAATGCCGAGAGTGTGGAGCCCCGGGTGGACAAACGACGCCCATTTGCCAGCCCGCCTGTTACACATCACGGCATGGTTCAAGGTAACAAGGTACACAAGGAGGAAAGCGTCACGAACGCGGCGTACTAAACAGGAAATGTTGTAGACGCAGACCAACAGTGCGGGGTCTGAATCCAAAGCCTACCCACGGCTACCATATGCAGTGGTGCTTACCCTGGGTTGAAGATCTCTCCCAACATGTACTTGTATACCCCGCTCTCAGGGTCCAACATGGAGAGGAGCTCCGTTTTAATCTCAACGAAAGCCTGCGAGAGCGACATTCCGCGGAGCGTGTGAGGGAATGAAATAAAAAGAGGCGGGAGAAAGAAAGCACACATAAAAAAAACAAGGCATGCCATTTGGTGCAACCACGTGCTGCAGGAACGCTTGCATTTCACAAGTCTCCGGAGCTCTGGCCAAACACCCTCTACCTAGGACGCCGGCATTCCGGTGGATTTCACGCACGTGGACCAAACATTTTCCGTGGGCAACACGATTTGTCTCACCTCCAACGTTGGTGCGTATGCCGCTGCCTTGAACTTGCGCAGAATCCCCTGCAGGATACCCCCCGGCAGCCCCTTCCCATGCGCCTTGACGTTCTGCTCCTTGTGCCAGTAGCACAGCTTGTTCAGCGCCCCCGGAAAGACTTGCGCGATGGCCGACATCTCTGACTGATCTGTGTCCGTGAAGATCACCTACTTTGCCACGGGAGTTGCCACGCACGAGCAGAGACACGGACATTCAGGAAATGCACGATTACGTCCAGTAGTTCTCGATTGATCGAACGGGGGGTATTTATCTATTTATCGGGGACATGTTGCCAGCCTGCCCTCTACTGCTCGGTACTGCTCCACAGCTTAAGACCGTCGCTTCACCTTTGGGCTGCTTCCGCGGATGAGCTCCTTGAAGGACTCCATCAAGAACACGAAGGATTCGTGCCTTTCGGTGTCCAACAGGGCCTGCATCGCAATCTGCGTGTGATTCTCCTTGTCCACCACCACTATGAATGCCAGCTTGTGGTTGTACCTGGTAGGGGCATGACGTGACGCAATAAGCACAACAGTTGGGCATGGCGCGCCGGTGACAACGTTGTCAGCGCACAGCTACCAGCAACCCAACGGCAGGGCACTGCTCGAACCATATCGTGTGCCAAGGGGGCTAAGAAAACAGCACGTCCGACACTCTACTCACTTGCTGGTGTTGAATGTGGTGTCTGAGACGACGACCGGAAAGTATTTCTCCGTGTTGCGCCGCTGCTCCTCGTGTGCCCAAGCAAGGCACGTCAAGCGGTTCTCGTCGTCCAGCTTGTACCTCTTGAAAGCGCCGTCCTGCTCGAGCTGGTGGAGCAACTGCTGGGCGTCGTTCAAACCTCCGCGGCTGCTCGTCTTGTCTTTGTCGAACTGCACCCTCATTAGACGTACCTACCGCCCAAGACGCATCATCAGAGAGGGTGTGATTGACTTCACGACACGCTTTTTATCAACCGAAGGTACGCAAGCCAGACGACAACTTTCTCGGGTGACGACGGGTGACCAAAATGGTTACGAAACTACGTGTGGGATGCGCTCGAAGCCATGCCGCCCGAGTGTATATGGTGATACCCCAAGGCGTTCTGTGCTACCCCTTCCTCGCTCACCATCTGCCTTCCTTTCTCTCCCAGCCTCTTTCCCGTATCTGTCAGATATTTGTAGACCTCCGCCGTTTTGACGCCCTTGTCGCACATCTTCTTGATGTGGGCGGATTCGGCTTCAAGATCCTCACGGGTGATCTCGTTCTCGAAAACGCGAGGGGGGTCGTGCTCGGTTCCCTCTGAACCCGGGTACATGTGCCGCAGGCAAACGTTCTGTTTAGTTGGAATTGACGCGCGGACGGGGGGCACGAGTGTGTTTTCGGACAAGCGAAAAGAATATCAAAAGCAGGCATAGCGATTTATGGCACGAACAAGGCCCGATGCTGTCGCTGCCGTCGTCATACGCGCTGAGGAAGCTTCCGTTGCAATCGGCTCTGGATCACGCCAAAAACACGGTACAAGTTGCAGGCCATCGTCTGAACTGTCGCGAGTCCACCCCACTTCTACAAACCCTAGCATACCTTGCCAAGGCGCGGCGCCTCGCTGTTGGCACCCCAGAACAGCGACACCCCCCATTCGCACTCGAACTACGAGTGTGGATTGGGGAACAGCGCGCGCCGAAAGCTCAGCTTGTCGAAGTTGGGTTTTGGTGCACAATCATGATTGAATGCTAATGGTAGTGGTGCAACAAAACATGGTAAAGGAAAAGAACGTACGAAGTGCACGTTGCTAAACTTGCAACCAATAAAATCGCACTCTTTCTTGGTCGTTGAAGTGCTGTTCGGTTTGGTACTGCCAGCAAACGTCACTTTGTGCACTTTTTCTTTCCCATAGTTTGTTGCACGTGTATTGCAAAGAGAAAACGTCTCGTCGAACGCCAATATGGAGCCCCCTACTCTCGGTGATGCCCCCCCCCCGGTGTTTGCCATCGGGGTTGGGCTTTCGTCGCTTGGCAACGACGTTGTAAAACAACCCCCCCCCCTCGGTGNCCCCCCCAATCTAGACTTGACCATCTCTCCACGTTTGTCAACCGGGCCAGCCGTGCCAATCCAGCAGCACAGGCTTGGGGCCGATCAACATTCTGTGTGAACACGGGTTGGAGTGAACGGCACCAGTGCTGTGAGCGCTGATTTGAAGTGAAGACAAAAAAACAATAAGTCTGCCGAATAACAAGGAAATTGGCGTTCTTTCCCGGATAAATGGGCGCAGTGCAAATTGACGGTCCCGCCAGCTTAGAGCACTGCAGGACAAGAGTGTGGTAGGTCGAGACGTGAGGCAGGGGAAGAGGGGCTAGAGGTCGAGGAGGGAGGCCTTCGATTCGGTCCCCGTGCTTGATTCAACACCAGGAGAATTCTCGGTTCTCTCCGAAGGAAGAGCTGGTCAGTCCGGCGGTTCCGCCGCAAAGCTTCGAGGCGGCGGCAATGGGTGAAGAGCAGTTATCGAAGGGCAGCAGTAAAACCAGTCAAGGCACAGGCAACGAGGCCAAGGATAGAGCTGGCGGAGATATGGAGGGGGGGAGCTCTGTTTTTTGCGAGCCATGATTGCCAAGGTTCTCGTCGGTTGATAATTTGACAACGACATGACTGCTTCATGTGCGATCAACGTTCGTTCCTTCGAGATAGTTTGATTTTTGGAGGGAAAATCCGAATAGTCTAAGCATCCAACATGCATTCATTTCACGTTTTTCGCCACAAGCGTTCGCACCAGAGGCATCCCCTATTCTGAGACACTCGAACACGACAGGTCTTCGTTTTTGGATGAACCACCAAAAAAACTACAGGAGTGGAGCTTCAGATTAGCCTGAGGTGCAACGCAACTTCGGGCATTTCAGTGAGAGTGCAAACGAAACTGCCGTGAAAAACTGGAATGACCCTCAAACTTCTTGATCCCAAAGGTTACGTTGGGCGTAGTAAAAGCCCTGCCCGAACTGTAAATCCACTCGTTGTAGCTACAGCCGCGATCGAGCAACGTTCCACCACATTATCTTTCCAATTTCGCCGTCCACACGCTCGTTCGCCCATCTTGACGACCCAGCTGCTATCCGTTGATATCAATGGCGCATCTGTCCATGCCGGGTGGCGTACCCATTGGTTTCAACGCCATTTGCGGCAGAGTGCGAAAGCGTGCAACCGTCTGGCGTCCGAGGCATTCAGAAAGCACGTTACCAATTCTCGTTCTCCCATGGCGTCACCTGATGCCGCCCATCCCCGCCTACAGTTCTCGCTATCCCAACGGGGCACCACATGCCGCCTACCCCCGCCGACACGAGAAGCTTCGCCCTACTACAAAGCTGCCCTTGGGGAAGGAGGTGTTGTCGATGGTGGTTGCTGCCCCGCCTTGCCCTTCCCGTCTCCCGCTCGACGCAAAGACCATGCGAGCCCGTGCGCGTCCTTGGATGCGGGGACCTCGCCCTTCGAGAGGTACTGCCGGTTGTTCGACTCGATCTCCGAAAGATCGTATCTGGCGGCAAGCGATTAAGTTTACCAAATTAATACCCTTGTGTGTGCCGAGATTTTCACACGAGACGTCCTTGGGATGAGCGATGCTCGCTGTATCTCAGCGATCGACACCACAGATCATGGCAGTCCAGAGTACACCCTGGCGTCCATTGAGGACGATTCCCAGTTTTCGCACGCATGTCTTGATTGTGGTGGGGGGCAACCCGGGTTCCGAATCCAGCCACCGACAAAATCATGGTAAAGACAAGCTTGGAAAATCACCGAAAATGGTGGAGACCTCAATCCACAGAGCTATTGGGGTTTTTTGAAAAAATTCCCTCGGAGCCAAGCGTACGCTGGATGCTTTGTGAGCCAAAGCTGGGACGAAGAGCCACAAGCACACCTGCATCGGCTGCGGGAGTCTCCAACTCGTGAGGGCAACCAAAGCCGCGGGTGTTTCTGCCCCGTCTGTCAGTGCCTTGTGCGCCTCTTTGTCTGTCTGTCTGTCCGTCTTATTGCCTGTCTTGTCTATCTGTCTGCCTGCCTTGCTGTCTCTATGTCTCTCTGTCTGCCTGTCTCCTCTTCATCACATTTCGCTCTCTCTCGCTCTCATATACTCACACATAGTTAACCATGACGCCGAAGCTGTTCTTGACGCCTCGCGAGGAGAGGTCTCCCCTCCAATTCAGCCGCTCTACCCGCGCTCCGTTGGAAACCTGGCTCAAAACGACACCAGCGAGGACAGGCCATCATTTCATGAAAATGCGGAGCCAAAGAAAATATGATGACATGCTGAGAACACGGGGAACAGTTTCAAATGCCAACACACCAAATGACATATTTCTATCAACTTTCTATCGACAAAAAAATCGTTGTCTCGCCGTTCTGCCATGTCACGGAACATGTTCCAATTGCGGTGGTTGTCGCTGTTGTTTATTTGCCACACTGCTGTCTTCGGGAAACCCCATTCTGACCTCTGGCCGCACTGCCCACAAACCTCATATGGGTACCGCGGGTCAAGCGACATACGCATGTACAGCAAACACAGCATGATTCAAGGCAACGCCATACGGTCGTGGGTTGTGGGCGAGTCGTCCGCTACCTGATGCGTTTGGGGGAAGCCTTTCCAGAACTGTATTTTTAACTAGGTTGAATGAAACACATCCGCCGCACTATGACGGAAAGCACTGCCTCAAGCGCGGATAGATAAAAAAACGAACGACCACCCGACAGCGACGACAAGCTTCCCAGTCTCCTCACGTGAAAGTTCCCCACGGGGTCGGGAATCTTCCCGCGGACGGTCTCCCTCACGAGGTACCTCGCCGCGAGCCTCGTCAACGCCGATTCGGCCGCCGCTCCGGGTTCACCTTCGTCCGAAAGGAGCACCGCCAGGGCTTCGGCCTCTCGCCGCGCGTCGGCTCCCAGGGTAGTGAGGGCTACCGCAGCACACCCTTCGTCGTTGCTGACATGGTCTTGGGGGCGGTCGTCGTTGTCGTTAGCTGTGACTTCGGCCAGTATCGCCACTGCTTCTTCTGCGGTGAGGAGAATCTCTGATAAAAACGATGGAATCCAAGCGCGGCGAATAAAGCACATGAAACGAAACGGCACACGGGAGTCTGTTGAGGGACGGTAGCGCAAGACCGGGAGAGAGGGTGGTTTCAAGCCCAAAAAGGATGAGCGGTCATGGCATGATATTTTCTCAGAAACGCGCTCATCGAAACTGTTTTCTTTCTTCGGGGTTCCATGGCAGTGTCTGGTGGTTTCCGTGGGCCTTCAACAGAAGATACTCGGAGGTATTGGGCAGCAGCCACGGAATGGGACGGCTTCACTACACTGCCACAAGTGTAACTTGCGTTGGTATCCAGACGCGACCATGACGCCCCTAAGCCCACGATTGGAGTGCCGTTCCACCTATCAAACATTTTACACTTCGAAGCATATGGGAAAGTCCTTTACAGATTCCCCTGCATCTCCGAAACTGGACGAAGAACATCACCGCCATGTATGCCTTGAGCTTGGTCTCATGCAACCAGGCCTGTGTGCCTTCCTGTCAGCGAATCTCGGTGTGACGGAGGCAAAACCGCCGTGAGACGGAGTGACCAGCAAAATGCCGTCCTCTAGCAGAAGGGAGGGCGTACTTCGCATGGATGGTAACTACAAACCCAAGCAGACCTGCAGCAGCTGGATGATCAGTGCGGCATTGTGATGTTCACGTACGCGAGGGGAGAGAGGATAAGCCATTCGGTGGTTTCGTTCGTTACGCCACCGTTGACCACGCGTGCTCGTCGATAAGTGTGAGGGGCACCGTCCATGATCCAAATTGAGCCACCACCACCAACCAGGCGGACTCTTCTCTGAGAGTGGTCAGCCAATTTTTGCAAAGGACGTGTGGAACGAGGGGGGGCGCTACACCCTAATGATTTGTGAAGGGAACAAAACGCCAAAAAAACAGCGTGCATTAAGCGTAAAAGTAGTCAACAGACACAACAGACACCTCCGGAGAGCTCGCTGTGGTCGACCCCCAGGGCAGCTCGGTGCTTTGCCTTCTTGCCCAGCCAACTCCGGAACGACGGAATGGGACTCAGGGTCGCGAAGGTTTCCAGCTGTGGAGGCGCCGGCCGCATCAAGAGCGCAAAGAGCGTGTCGGCCACGGCGACGTGCAAACACAAGACAGAGGAAGGGTACAGTCAGTGAGAGCACAAATCGACACTGGAAGCAGTGGTGGTTGTGCACTTGCCGGATAATGCGACACGCCAACTTTCAGCAGAAACAAAGGTCACGGGTCGTGCGGAAGACTGCAAGAGAGGAAGGAAACAAGACAAGTTGCGACAGACAAAAACAGCGAACCTCGCGATACCACGGCACAAATATTATTTACTAGGGTGGCGTGAGGTTGAATGGGGTTGGCGTTGGATATGCTCCTGCGAGAAGTTGCTTGCAACAGGCTCAACACGGTACCGGCGAGGTAGAGCGAAGCTGATGTCCCTGTTAGTGCTGCTGGTAATATTGATGTTTACTCTCTTCTTGTTCGTGATGGTAGTGCTGTTGATTTTCATGCTTCACGATTTTCGCTGTTGGTAAATTGTAATGTCTCGTAATAATTACAAGACGGCATTCCATGAATATGAATGGTACCTGCGGCAGCTCGGCCCTCAACTGTGCCACCACCCTCTTGATGAGAAAGTTCCCCAGCTGCACTCCCTGAAGGCCCTTCTGCGTTGCCGAGATCGAGTAAAACACCGCGCTTCGGGCCTGGTACGTCCATGCACGGACAAGACACAGCGACGAGCGGCGACAGGCAGCCGAGGGAATCTTGTTTTTCATGCCTCCCGACACATACCAGGAAACCGTCTGTGGGCACACACAAACCGCAACAGTATTTGCACTCATCTCTGGAGCTATGGCGCCCGTATTTTTTCATGGCACTGAAACATCACGGGCGTCAACACGTCAACACCGAAGGAGCCAAACGCCTCCCCAGTCTCACTATTTCATCGGTACGTGTGTGAGAACAAGCGGACCTCAAAAGCAAAACACGACAGTCCCGCAATCCCCAACCAATCTCAGCCCGCCGCGAAGCAGAAAAAAGACGCAGCTTTCTCTCTCTTCGCTCTTACCTCGTCCTCCTCGCACCCGCTCCCCTCCTCTTCCTCGCCGCAGCCACCGCGGTTTACGATGTCGACCATGCTCCCGGCCACCTCGGGAAGAAGGGCCACGTGCACGAATACCAGCGGCTCGTCGGGCAGGCAGGGGTGGAAGAACGCGAAGCAGCGTCGCCCTTCCCCTAGGCGAGCCTTGAGCTCCGACAGGGACCCCACCGGGTGAACGGCCTCGTAGCTAATACGTACGACGGAAAATGTTGCGGGTCAACGAGTTGCTATAATAGAAGCAAGCAGGAGGGACGTATTGTAGCAACGCGAGAAGCGCTAGAAACGCGAGAGAATATCTAGAGGACAGGAAACGTGCGTGCACGTGCGATCCGGGGCACCGTGGTACACTCCGTCTTTGTGTCGGAAGGGGAGAATCGATAGTTGCTGCTTTGTGTGAGTAGGGGGGCTAAGCAATATATGTACAGTGGGTCCTCGTTTCCGGCGGCGTACGAAGAGCATATAGTGCCAAACGTTAACCGCAGTGGGTCCTTGCTCCGGGAAGCGTACGAAGAGCCTCGACCACACCTTACCGGGCTATCTTCTCCAGGAGCGCCCCGCCCGAGCCTTCGAAAGTTATCCTCCGTAGCTCCAAGAACCCGACGCTGAACCATGCCTGCAGCAGGGATCGGATGGACCCGTCCAGTGCCGAAAGTAGTGGGTCCGGCCCCGCCGCTTTTCCCTCGCCCGCCCCCGGCCGCCGCCGCCCCCTCCGCATGACTTCCAGTAGATCCTTCATTCGCACGCAACAAGGGTGCAAGGGAGGGAGGAAAGTCGGCAAAGGTCATTTTTCGGTTCGGCACGTGGGATGCAATAGATAGATACCATGGCCGGTGGCTCAGAGGTAATGCGATACCATGCGAAAGAGAGGACAGCGCGGGAAAGGGGCGTAATGATCAAGCAAGGGACGGGAGGAAACGGGGGCGTGCAGGGCTTGACAAGGTCACAAGTAAACCATAGGAATGGTATTCTGTACATAGAATGCGAGGTCAGAACCAAGACCACCATTGAAAAGAACAAAAATTCCTCGCTGCGTCTCCCTCTCGTTCGTTTCAACCGTTGGTTCCAGCAACAAATGCATGTGTGTCACAGATGGGAAAAGGGTTGTAAAGGGCCTTATCATGACCAATTCCCGAGGCCGATGGTCGAACGACTAAAGGTAGGCATAAGCAAAGGCCGCCGCCACCTGCTTCTCCCTGCCACCAACAGCCTGCAACAAATCAGATGGCAGAGAAGCGAAACACGATTGACAGCTACTTATCTCGGCGTGTCTGCTCCAAAGTCAGTCCTAGGTCGAGAAAATAATTGTTGTGTTCAACCACGTGGCAGTGATCGCCCGCCACTTCCTTGCGAATGATCCACCGACCAAGGCATACCACATATGTGCTCGCCCGCACTCCCTACCTTCGGTAGATGGATGAACCCTCCATCAATGTCAGTTCATCCGAGCATGTTGAAACAATGGTCAAACCCTCACAATATCCAAGGTACTGTTTACTTAAGTGCATCGAGTCTGTCAACAAACCTGGCGTAGGGCTTGTAAGTTACAATGTAATCTGTTTGATTTGGTGGTCGACACATAGCCTCGGTATACCAATATGTTCGGTGATCCCCCTAGGTTGGTGGCTACGCTGTGTAGGTTTTTCACGGCCATATGCAAAGTACTAAGTATGATCCGCCGCCCTTGCGCTTTCACAACAAAAATTCAACGAACTCTTCAGAAAAAATAGTACTTGCACGTAAGATTGGAGTCGAATTTATTTCCTGTGTAGCCGGCGCCGCTACTGCTAATGCTATCGCCGATGCACAACGCTGTCCCACCCCCCCACTCGTTGTTGAAAGTGCGGGGTTTGATGGGCGTGCTTTTTCTAGGGCGCAATTCACAAAAAGAACGCACCGAATGCGCGGAGCACAACAAGCGACGCGTTTGTGGCGTAGGAGAGTTGTGACACGTGTTCTTGGTCCCAAAAGAAAAAAAAGCACGCCGCACAACTCCTTCGTCGTAAACGCGTCGTTCGTTGTTATCCACACATGGGGTGCTGTCTCTATTCCATAATACCGTTGAGGAAACACGGCCAGCAAACCCATCGTACAAACAACGAAGGGCACGTCGGAACGCGACACACACCAGCGATGGGATTGCGTTTACCGTTAAGGAGCGTGGTGTAGCGTATTGTGTACACGCCGCCTACAGGATAACCGGCTCTGTTTCAGTCGTAGGCTCTGCCGCTGCCTGCCGCTGCTGGATACGCGGCGAGTGCACAAAAAACATTGAAACACGCTTTTTTACAGTAGGCGCGATCCCCACCACTGAGCGCGCTTCCTGTCACGAGGCCATTTACCATGACGTATTTGCTTTCGTGTGAAGGGCATCATTTACCGCACGGTGTTTCCACAAGCAGTGCGCTATTTCGTGCGAGCACACGCATGTTCCTTAAAAAAACTAATGCAACGGGACTGTTGTAGGTTCCCCGCATCATGAGCGTCTGCTGCACGTAAAAACCATTCCATAGTGCACGACAACAAAGAAAACCCGAAAGTCGCAAAAATAACATCGTACTGGTAGTTGCTAGCTATCCACGTGCGAAACCTGTCTCAGGTCGACGACGAACCGTACACCGTCGTCGGACTCCGCCACCACGTTCTTGAGCAACGCCTCGTACGCCGGAGACAGCTCCTCTCGCAGCCGCTCGTACGCTCTCACGTGGCGCCCCCGCTCCCGCCGCCCGGACGACTCCGTCGAGTCGCCGCCAACCCCTGGTTGCTGTGGCCGCCCGTTAACGCCCTCTTCATCTGCGCCACGGGCAGATTCACGCACACGTTGTGGGAGGAAGAATACCTCAAAGGGGGGAATTCATGTAGGGAACAGGCGTCTGTCGTTAAAGTAGAATATTAAGGGACAAGGTAATGAAAGGGAACAGGAGCCTGTCATAAAAAAAACGAGAAAATCCCAGTCTAGCCAGGACGCAATTTATCCGGCTCGTCTTCTCGCTGTCCTTCTTCCAGCGCATGTCCGGACGGCCGCCATACACACCACCTACGGTTTTTCCATCGAAAGAACACCATCGGCGCTCAAGGTGCGAAACCCACCGCTCACCTACTCCGTCGGCTGCCCCGGCACCGGCGGCCAATGCCGGAGGCTCCGCGGGGGGTCCCGCAGGTGGCGAAACCGAAGCAGCGTACCGGTCCACGGCCGCCTCCACGCTTGCGCGACTTGGCGTGAAGTCCCTGAGTAAGTTGTGCGTTTCGGGGTACGGGTGTCGAGGGAGGGACGGGGTTGCCGGAACAAAACCCTTCGTTTGTGTAAAGCTTCCTCTCGTAGTGTCGATGGTCGACAATAAATGTTTTCTCTTTCCAGAACACGCGCCGCGATGTCAGTCATGCCGCAGTGCTTTGCAGGCAGGGTGGGTCGGTTTCTCTCCTCTCACCTGGCAATGCTCAGCAAGAGGTCTTCTTTGCCGGCTTGATCCAGCTGCGAGTATCGCCCGCAGAACGCCTTTACCACCTACAAGCACACCAGAGGAACGCATCACACACCAGTGGTGAGAAAAAACGTCCGAATTATGTACCAAGTTGTGCCGGGGGACCGTAGTATGTAGGAGTGGAGCAAGCGTTCACATGCACCTGGTCGCATAGGCCAATGCAATCGTTGGGAAGCTCGTCATCACGCTCTACTCTTCGGAAATATTCCCAGCTTTTGAGGAAGATGACCCGGTGGCCAATTGGTCCGTTTGGGGTCGAGTTTCGTCTGGAACAGCCGGCCGAATTACTGGGGTTGGTCTCGGGGAGATGGTACATGCGTTTGTCTAGGTGTCGGGTAGTTGGCCATCGCGACTTCTGTCGATGGGCTACCAGGATGAAGACTTAAATTACCCTGCAACACACAGAGACTGTACATCAACAGGCCTGACCCAGCCAGATGGTAAAACTCTTTCGTAGCGTAGCTCTACGGCTGTAGGCGGATCTCTCCGCGTACGGGCCTCACCGCGTGATGCGCTCTTTCGCATGAACCGAAAGCACACGCCTTCACGCGGAATACACACGAAGGCCAACAGAACAAGCGGCGCACAACACGTACGTAGCATCGCCCGTGCCTCACCTCCTTCGGCACGTTGTCCTGCTTCCTCCCCCTCCCTCCTCTGCTCACGATCCTCCGCATTAGCTCCACGAGGTCCTCCGGCGAATCCGCGTACTTGCGATATAGGTCCCAGGTCCCCGACGACGTCCCCGACGACGACAGTCGTTTGCGAGAACCATGCATCACTGATAACGATGCTGCTGCTGTTGCGTTGAATGGTGCGTGGTTGCTGCTTCCGCCCGCTAATCGTTGCAGGAGATGGTAGCTGCCGATGGTACAAGACCTCATGTTGCACGGGCGGTTGTACTTGTGTCATGTACTGGAATGTCGTCTCGTGTGCGCGGGCCGATAGTGATCTCTTCACAGCCGCAGTGCTGATCGGCCAGGGATCGGATAGGAGCAGCAACCGGTTGCTTTTGACAAGAAAAAAATGAAGTCTGTATTGAGGTGTGCAGCTGTTTGCATGCTACGGGTAAGCGCGCTCCTCGCTGCTGACTGTGCGTGTGTGTGTTGTGTTGTGCACAGATCCCGGTGCGGTGCAATAGCTGCGCTTCCGAGATCCGAGATCCCATACCATACATGAATCTCACTCGCGTGCCCCCCCCCAGACGCGCCCGTCGGAGATCGGAGATCTATGGTATACAGATAGCGCATCTATTATATTAAGGAGAAATAAATACACGCACAGACAGACTACACATTCGAGATATACCCACAGCAGTCGAACGGGATGTGGTGGAGTCTTTTCAGTACTATATATAATAGTTACCTCTAGTTTCGCCCGAGGCTGGGGTTCTTATTTTGCCTATCATCCTCTTGTGGGCTTCAAATGGACTCTATATAGGTTTTAGTGTGGGGTTCTGAACCGAGCTCACAAATGGTGCTCAAGTTCCTAGCTTCTGATTTTAGCTTCTGATTTGGCGAGTCTCTATTTCGGGCGCTATCTGTATGACTGTTAACAACCGAGCACCCCCTCCCATTCATTCGAGCGAAGCGAGATTTCTAATCTTGCCTGAGAGGGCTCAGCGCAATATAGGGGCCGATGCAGGAAAAAAAGTGCGTGCGTGTGTTGTGTTCGCTTAAACTAGGTTTTAGAGTACAGGACTTGATTTGTGACTACAGGGCGCACTTTTTTTTTTTACACAGCAGAGCAGCAAACAGCAACAGCAGACAACACGCGCTCAGCGAGCAGACTGAACACACACGCACAGCAGACAACACGCGCTCAGCGGGCACAGCGACACACCAACAGCGCAGAGCGGACACAGCCACAGCGGCCTGCATGGCATGGCAATTGCATGATGAGTAGACGTCCGTTGGGGCCGATTGACCCGAACTCCCTCCGTGAGGCAGAGACGCACACAGACTCGCGGCGCAGACAAAGCCACGGGGAGAGGGAGCCCCTAGGCAGCCCACAGCTTGACCGGGCGAGAGCTGCTGCTCGTCAGAGGACTGCCGCCAGGCGTGCGGCGGAGACCGATGGAGCACGGGCAGAAAGGTGCGTTGCGTGTGCGTGCGTCTGGGCGGCGATTGCCGGAGAGG